AAACTTTATTTTCCTTTCTATTTTTAATGAAACCTAATGGTTGTTCCATATAGATTTCTTCATCCAGATCACCATTCAGAAATGCGGTTTTTACATCCATCTGATGTAATTCTAGATCTAAACTGTTTACTATTGCCAGAATAAGTCTAATAGAATTGAAACGCACAACAGGTGAGAACGTATCTTCATAATCTATTCCTTCCTGTTGTGTGTACCCCTTTGCCACTAATCGAGCCTTGTATTTGTCAATTGATCCATCCACTTTTCTTTTAATTTTGAGAACCCACTTGTTCCCAATGGCTTTACGCCCTCTGGGAAGATCAATTAACACCCAAACTTGGTTCTTTTTCATTGAGTTCATTTCTTCTTCCATACCTTTCATCCATTCATCTTTCGCAGGACCTGACAAGGCTTCTCGTATAGAACGGGACTCATCATCCCCTTCTGGAGTAACTAAGAGAGATTCGCCTTCTATTTGAAAGCGTCTTTTGGGAACACTTTCCCTGTTACTCCTTCTAACAGAAGCTATTTGCTTATCTTTCTTTCTTTGTTCAGGTCTTGGTGTTGACCTTTCTTGGCTCCCACTCAGATTGACACACCTAGACAATTCTGGTTTGTCAATTTGTTCTACACTGTCTTGTTCCTGTGTCTCATAAAGAGAAACAGTACGGTCAACATCTCCTCTATTAGAAAATTCAGTCTCAATGAATGTTACATCCCTTGATTCTATTTCAGTCACGGTTCCATCTTCGTTTTGACCTATGAGAACGTATCCCTTTGATTGTTGAGAGTACCTTATGAAGATGCATTTCTTTCCTCGGGGACCCAACTTCCCATGCTTATGAGAAGCGTCATGGATATACGCTGCTGACCCCCAGGGCCTCAAGATGCTTAGATCTGGTTTGCGTTTTGTCCATAACTCGTAGGGTGTGGAAGCGACTGATTTTGAGGGCACACGATTAAGTATGAAGGTCGCCGTTAACAAAGCATCACCCCAATATGAAATTGGCAGGTTTGCTTGAGCCATCATTGACCTAACCATGTCCAGAAGAGTTCTGTTTCTTCTTTCAGCAACTCCATTTTGTTGCGGAGTGCCAGAGATAGTCAGTTGTCTGATTATCCCTTTTTCTTCACAGAGCTGTCTAAATTGATCAAATAAATATTTACGATCTCGATCAGTTCATAATGCTTTAATTTTACTGTCCATTTGATTCTCTACCTCATTTATGTATCGTCTAAAGCACTCAAGAGCTTCAGACTTATGCGAGATCAAATAGACATGACCATATCGTGAAAAATCGTCAATGAAGGTAATAAAATACCAAGCTCCGTGTCTCACCCTCACACTCATTGGACCGCAGATATCAGAATGGATTAATTGCAATGGATTTTCAGCTCGTTTTCCCTTACTGAAAGGCTTTCTTGTTGCCTTACCAGCTAGACAGTTCTCACATAGTGACATTTCCATATTGGGAATGGCACCTAACAATCCTTCTTTTGCTAGTTTAATCATTCTATTTTGATTAATGTGTCCTAGTCTAGCATGCCAAGTGTTTATGTCAACATTATTCGAAGAAACAGCAAAGCATTCATTACCATTGAAATCACCAACAATATCCAAAACAAAGAACTTCTTAAACAGGAAAGCTGAATCATAAAGAATAGAGTTGCTAAAAATATCTGCAACTTTACCATGAAAGTTTACATTAAACCCAAATTCTAACAGACACAATACAGAAACCAAGTTTCGCCGGATGTCGGGAGCGTAAAGTACATCATGGAGTATCAAGGTCTTCCCACCATGCAAAGTAAATTTGCAGGTGCCCAAACCTTTAACCTCGATCCTCGCATTGTTCCCAACGTAAAGCCACTTGCTTTGATACGGCAACCGACGGTACTCGATAAAGGATCCTCGATCCCTGGTTACATGGTCTGTGGAGCCTGAGTCTATAATCCAAGAAGAAGAAACAGGTTCTGTTAGAAAAACAGTACTAGAAACGTATGAAACATGTGAATTCACATAATCCACTAATACCTTTTCGCTCTCAGCCTGTTTTGAACAGTCACGTGCGAAATGGCCCATTCTCTGGCAGGCAAAGCATTTGACCTTCTTCAGGTCTAGCTTCTTCTTCCCACCTTTCTTTTCTCTTCTTCTTGAATTGCTTCTTTCCCTTTTTGGGTTGAGGACCACCCTTCTTCCCTTTCTTTTGGAACTTCTTACCCTTCTTGGAATCAGGCTTTGATTGGGAAGTACTGGCATCCTCAATATAATAAGCTTATCCAGAGGACTTGTAAGCCTCTAAACGTTCATCCTCCAGCTCCAAGTGTTTGGCTACATCGTTAAAAGTAACGATGTTTTCATTATGTGTCAAGTTGACTTTCATGTGCTCCCAACTAGCAGGAAGCAATCTGATAACAGCCTGCACTTGCTGTTTATCAGACAGGACATGGCCTGCTTCCTTAAGTTCTCTGATCATGTTGGTCATCTCTCTTAGATGTTGTTTCATAAGATTGTTTGGCTTGAGCTTGTAGGTGTCGAACTTAATCGTCAACCTTCTAAGTTTAGTGGTAGAAGTACCACCAAACTTGTCCTTCAATGCTATCCACATGGCTTGTGCAGTTTTGTGCCTCTCAAACTCGCACATTATGTCATCAGCCATGGCGCTCAGAAGTGTAATTCTTGCTATACTGTTTTTCTTCTTCCAAACTAGGTAAGCCTCTTGGTCTCTCCTATGTTGGGCCGTATTCCCAGCTTCAGGATTGACCATTATAGTGGTTAAAGGTTCAACCGCATCTTGTTCCTCTAAGATATATTGAACCTTTCGGTGCCATATGTCCCAGTTATCCCCGTTGAGCTTTTCTCCCTTATTAAGCTCAGCAATTATGTTCTTGATTGCCATTTTTAGTTCTGTGACAAATTTATCCCACATTATTCTACGTTCTCTCTAAAAGAGAGACATACCAAAGAACATTTCAGTTATATAGCACATCGAAGTATACAATGTCTTGTACTTATATCATCCTTGATCAGAAAGTAATGACACTGCAAGATCCATGATCAAGAGCATACGTTTGTACCTCCCATCACACAGATACAGGCAACAATCATTATGTCCTATCAAGGATTTTATATAAGCACTTCAAAAATTGTGACTCTTAGAAGTCTTATCTTCTAAAAGCTCCCACTTATAAAAAGGTATACTCATATTATTCACAAGATAATCATACAACAATAGTTCAAGTAATTTCATTAAATGAAATAACATACTTAGTCTGTTTACAATGCATGAAACCCAAAAACTTAATATAATAAACATCAATAAAGCAAATACAAGTATTACATCATTTGATATGAACATAAAGGTAATCAAGCATCGCTTTCCTCAGCTTCCTAAGTTTGCGTGTTTTGGTCATAAAGGATGATACTAAATCTATAGCCCAGATCCAATAAAATTTCCTTATGGGTTTTCCTTTAGGTCCGCCTCTAACCCTTATTGCTCTTATGTACTCCATTATAACTTTAAAGTAGAATTCGGTATTCTTCTTATCGGTCATGTAATGGACGTAGCTGGAGAGCACGTCATTGATGCCTTTTATGTTTGTTAGTTTGGCTGCATCTCTTTCAGCTATTCTCATAGCTAAAGCAGGGGTACATGGTTGATCCACCTCTTCTCCTTCCTCAACTTCGGTTTCATTGGGAAGATCTAGTGAATCATTACAAACCAAATGAGGTTCGGTATGGAGGGGTTCAGTGGGGAATAAAGATTCCGGCTCAGGTCCAGAATCCATTAACTCCTACGGGTCTTCTTGAGGAACCTCTTCAGGGTCCTCTTCAGGATCCTCATCCTCTGGTTCATATTCTGAAACTGCATTATCCATGTATGAGTATTCCAATGAACCATCTTTGATATTTTCAGTGCTACTAGAAGCCTCTTGCTTCATTTTCACCTAGAACAAAAATAATTTAAATTATTTTGAATATTATGGAATTTATTTCCGCATGAAAATACCAGAAAATACACTGAAAATACTCACAAATTAACCCTTAATTGTCTCTAAAATTAGCAAATTATATATCAAAATGAAGGTCTTAATTTTAGGGATTTTTAGAGACAAACCGCACCTCAAATGGACCTTCCACGCCCCTACATGCACCCCTAGAAGGAAGAATTAGCAAAAAATTAAAAAAATCTTCGCCCACTCTCGCTGTCAGCACGTGTACGTCAAGCGCCGCCACGCAGCCGGCTGCCGGCGACACGTGCTGTGCCGGCAGCCTCCAAGCGCCACCACCTGTTAGGTGGTGGGCCTACGTGTCCAGATAGCATGCCACGTGGCGGCACGCGCCACGTGGCAGTTTTTTTTAATTCTTTTTTTTTACTTTTTTTTTATAATATATATACTGGGTTGGACCCTGCTCTCGGCCCAGATACCTTTTCCTCCCCTTTTTTTTTCCGGGCTGGATCTTGCTTCGGCCCATAACCCATTTCCCCCTTCCTTTTTTTTTTTTTGCAGTGATCAAAACGACGTTGTTTTGATCACTGTTCACCGTCTTCAACCTCCAGCCGGGTCAACCCAACCCGGCTGGAGTGATGGGTCGGGTCCGACAGACCAGTCGGACTCAGAAACTTCTCTTCTCCATATATTGGCCGTCCGATGTCCGTTTTTCGCGTACTTTATATCATTTTCTTCGTTTTTTCGAGCTCTACGCAATGGGATTAATTTTGAAGCCTAAAAACTTGATTTTAAGCAAACCCAAAAAAAAACGAACAAGGGAGACAGCTGAAATTTTTTTTTATGTTAAACAGGTCTCATGGAGTCTGGAGGAACCAACTGAATATGGGGAAAAGCACACACTCACAAAATGATCCCTCTTGGATCAGTTATATAACTCCACACTTTTGAAAATAATAAACCGCCTCCTTCGTCCAACCGTTCCTCCCATTTTGCATATCATATAAAAAAGGCTAAAATTGCAGTTAAGGACTCATGTGTTTTGTAATTTACATCAGAACCCTAAAATTTAATGAATTTGGGTCCAATCCACCAAGGGTGTACTGGCCTATTTTCTTACAAAATGGTATCAACGTGACCAGTTCCATTCCTATGTCAAATGAAACTATTTTTCTGCCCACATCCACACCTTCCTTCATCCCAACCCAAAAGATAGCTCCATTACAATTGAAAGCGCTAGGATGGCTAACACAGGCACCCTCTAAGTTCCCGGGTTCAACTTTTGTCCATAACCCTGTCATTAATGCATACACTTCCACTCGAGCAACCAAACAATCAGACATGAAAAGTTTCACTATCTTGTAATCATTGACGATTGAGCTGAACCCAAATCCTACAGAAAAGGACTCACCCTCATACTTGTTCAGAGATTTTGGCACTCGATGGACCTTTCTAATGGCTGGATTCCACAACCAGAGGGAGCGTTGAGATTCACTAAAGAGTTCGACGCAAAGCAAGCCATTACTGGAATAAACGGCAGCCCCGTAAGCCGTTAAGGAATCATTGATATGTGGGCTCTGAAATTCAAGAACTTGCATCTCACGTTTGGACAGACACAAGTGCCAATGATTTCTTTTAGAGATATTATTATCGACAGCAAGTAAAGGGTTTTGGCGAGCGGAATGGTGGAGGTGTTCAACAATGAAAGATGGGGTTTTGAACAGATTCTTCCAATCACAGGGTGCTACACGGCGCTCGACTGCCCACTGGTATAAAGGAATCTCACGAGTGACGACGGGGTGAGGGATTAGCGGGTGTGTGTACGCAGGTGCTAAAGCTGCGTGTTCTTCAATGCAGACTGACAGCATTAATTTTTTTTAAAAAAAAATTGTTTGTTCCTATCCTCAAGATAAAAAGATAATTTTAGATTGAGAAAATTTTTCATTTAACCCACAGTCCCCGCCACTGTGGATAATTAATATCTGTCAGCGCAAAAAATTTCATCTCCTAACCCAAACAATTATGAAATTTCACTGTATCCCAACGATCAAAATTTCGTGGTTAAAAGAGTAAAAACACCACTACTCTATTTTTTTTCCAGAAAAATCCTTGTTAATGGCGGAATTTTGGTTGTTAATCACTAAATTTGAGTTGTCAATCATTGTACATTTTCTAGGTGAATGGACAATTCAAATTCTGCGATTAACAATCTAAGTTCTGTGATTTAAAACCAAATTCAGTAATTTACCAACAAAAAAAAAGGATATTCACAACCCCCAAACATAATTGTTTTGGTATGAATGAATAACTCAAATTTCACAATTTACAATGTAAAGTATGAAATTTGCAACCCAAATTCAGTGATTTGTAAAAAACATAAGAGTAAACAATTTAAATTCGAATTTAGAAATTTACAACCAAATTTTAGTAATTTATAACAAAAATTAGGTAATTCATAAAAAATACAAGAAAATTCACAATTTCAAAAGAAGACAACAGTATTTTTGTCTTTTTATTCATAAATTTTTAGTTCTTAGGGGTGTAGTGAAATATCATTTTTTTTTTTTTTTTAGGTTGAGTGATAACAACAGTATTTTTGTCTTTTTATTCATAAATTTTTAGTTCTTAGGGGAGTAGTGAAATATTATATTTTTTTTACTTTTAGGTTGAGTGATAATAATTGTCTAGCGTGGAGTTTATTGAATTCTCCTTCTCAATTTAAATGTAAATGCTTCCTAACTTATAACGATTAGCCAACATTTATGCTTTGAAAATACCAGATATTAAATGTGATCATCTCTATTAACAAAGATTTGAATCTTAGATCAACTAGAGCTACTAACTCCTTTTATTAAATCCAATTCATATTTGTTGGATTTCTTCAAAAACCTAAAACTTCCCTGCCACCAAATTCCAAATTGGTCATGGGATTGCTGGTAAAAACACAAAAAAAAAAAAGTCATGGGATTTTGAGAATGCTCTCCTCTTGTTCTATTTATAGCACAAAGAGAAGATATTTTTTAGTCCTATTTATGAGGTACTGAGAGAAATTTTTTATATAGATGTACAATTTTACCCTTCATTTATTATTGTTTTGATTTTGTTTATATGAAGCATTCCTCCAATCCTAAATATAGAACTCAATTATTGAGTTGGTTTTGATTCTAAATAAAAAACCCATTTATCATGTTTATCAATTTTCTCTAAATTACCCCTATGGATACTTTATCAACTATAATCAAATAGAAGAGGGAGATGGAGTATTAAGAAAGATAATTATAGTGTTTTAGGAAAAGCATATCATATTTCTTATAATTAACTAACCTACCTAATTTTCTTAATCTAATCAAATTAGTTAAATAGGTCTTATATTAAGGATCGGAGGAGTATTATGTATATTAAATAGGATTAAAGTTAGAAAGTTATTCAATTTTAAATAAAAATTAATAAAGTTTAAGATTTTTCTTAAATTGTACGAAATATATTAAAAGTAACTTATAAATAAGATTAGAAAAGTATGTTTTTACAACATTGCCCTAACATTTATTTTAAGAAAAGCTACTCCTATGGGCAATGGGAGGTTCAACGACGGACTGATGGTGGCCCTTGCTTTATACTTCTTCGTCCTTTTTTATAAATAACGTTGGACTCCATTATGTAAATAAAAAGTTAGTTAAAAATAATAAATAGCTAGAAATTAAAAGTTCATTTTTCAAAATATCTTTATCTTTGAGAAAAAGAGAGTAGAAGAAAGAGAACAAGACAATTATTATAATAAAGAGCATTATGAAAAATAAAGAATGTAGATGGAAAGAGAAAATGAGATAATAAATATATTGAGTATTAAAATAAACAATTAATGGGCTAAAATAGAAAATTGAAAATTTGCTATAAAAATTTAAGACAACATGCAAATATTATTTATATTTAGAAACAAGAGAAGGATGATAGTTGTTGTTTATGAAAAGGTGAGGGGTGGAGTATTTTTTAAGGATGATAGTTGTTGCTTATGAAAAGGTGAGGGGTGGAGTATTTTTTACAGTATTTTTTTTACTATTTGGTATAACAAATTAACTATTTCCCATTATCATTTAGCTCTTCTTTTTTTTTTTTGCCAAAATAATCGTTTAGCAATTGACAACACAATTTATTCATTTTCACACTTGAATAAATTAATTTAAAAGGCCCTCGTTTTAGATTATTTACAACACGTCTTTAGTTATTTACTGCGATAAATTAATTATTTATTAAATTGTTTAGGAATTGGTGGTACGTTTTAGCCAATTTCACCCTTGAAAAAAAATTAACTTAAAGGGTCCATATTTTAAGTTATGTACTGCTCCGGTCCTAAATATATAACCCATTTTATAGTAGAAACTGCACTATAAAATGATCATATATTTAGGACTGAAAAAGTATAATATTTCTTTAGCCCTTTACCATGACAGAATTTATTTAAGCATGGAATTGGTTAAACTTAACACGTGTTGCAAATTACTAATAAAAGAATATGTTGAATAGCTCACTTAAATAGTTAAAGAAGTGGCATAAATAATTAACAAATTTAATTTAATGAGTTACAAGTTCCTATTTGTTATTTGATCCTCCTGTCTTATTTATAAAATACTCACAACATATTTCATATAGATCAAGAAGATGCATTAACTTTGTATTAAGATATAACAATCATTTAATTTTATCCCTATCCAATATATACACTTTTAAAAAAAGTAACTATCTACAATATAATAAATAAAAAAACAAAATAGTATATTCATACTAAAAATTTAAGGAAATAACTTATAAATAATATATATATATATATATATATATATAAATCCCTCTTTCCCTCTCTCTCTAATATGAGGAGTAAAATAAGGTTACATTTGATACGAAGTATTAAAAATAAAAGATAAGGATTGAGATTGAAAATATAAAATTATATTAAAAAAGTGTTTAGTGTAAGTAATTCTATGATACTTCGAATTAGACAAATCCATATATATGGAATTGAGAAATACAAAGGATGTGGTATTTTCTAATCCTATTTATATGGGATTGCCTAATCCCATATGATAAGAAATCACTTATGTTAAGTATCCTTTTAATCTATTTTTTCAATCCCAATTCTAATGTTTATCTCTAATTTTTAATACCTCATACCAAAGGTAACCTAAAGGATTTGCAATCAAGTTGTCTGCAGCACCGGAACTCCGCCCCCTCGCTGGAGCTTCTGCAACTATTTATCACAGGAGTTGCAATAAAATTATTCCCATAGTTTTTAAATTTCATATTCGAAATAAATATTCAGCCAATTGCTCTAATACCCGTTTTATCCAGATCTTACCACAAATTGCAATGGCCAGTTCTTTGGAACTCTGTCTCTGCACTACGTCTCGTTAGCCATATGATCTCAAGCACCTTAAATCAACAATGCAGTAAGGTATTTTTCTCTGCTCGACATTGAGAGCAGTTAAAATATTACCCATTCATAATGGATGATGATTCAGCTCAAAAAAAAAAAAAAACATTAGAAGGGGATGATGAATCTTGGCTTGTCAGCTTTTGAAGTCACTCCACTTGTAATTTGCTCAATAAGGCCATAGAATAAGTGCTTTGATATCATGTGGAGAGGCTGAGAGAACAGAGAAAGCATTCAACTATGAATGGATACTTCAATGTGTTTTCAAATTTATGTGCACCATTAATTATACTATCTTTGATTCTAATTATAAGAGTTTGGTTGTAGTGCAAGGAGATAGTATCTTAGAACTATGGTGTAGTTAAAATGGCATCACTAGGAGCTAGGTTATTATCATTAGACCCCAAGAAAGAAAAATGAAACTAGGAGTTCTGGAAAATGCTCTGTTCTGGAACCTCTTCCTTCATCTTCTTTTCAAGACCCAAAATTTGGAATCAACATTATGCCATCCCAAGATATGCCACATACCTCATCATTTTCCTTAGACGACTCCAATCAGGTAAATCCCAGAATTCAGCTGCCGGCCTTCCATTCATGCGTTATAGCATTACATTTATGAATATTGGAGATTTTGTCTTTGATACAAAGATGACTCGAAGGAACTGAAAAAATATACACATACGTATACCAACAACCCACTCAATAGGGGCTACTATGTGTAGATTCATTTCCACTAAAAGTTTGCTTAAATAGAGTAGATACTTACTGTAAACTGGGTCAACGCACTCCAATATACTTGAAATCATTGGCATATTGGCTAAATAAAAATCTCAAATAATTGATAAGCTTGAAAATCTCAAATAACATTATAAAAAAGTCAAACATGGCAAGAAGCATTTGGTATTAAATACTAGCATTCTTCAAATATGGATGTTGTCGAGCAGTGCAAGGCTTTCCACGTAATCAAAATTCTGACCATAAAATCTCCATTTTGGGATAGAAAACATGTTGAATTCATCAGTAGTGACATTGCACAAAACAACGTTTCCTTCATAATTCTCCGGTTCACCTCCAAATGGGTATTCAACTCCGAAGACACTGCAAACAATTTCATTTCTCCAAATAATCTCAGGAATAATACTAAACGTGAATGGATTGGGTCTGCTAGTATACATTTTAGTCCAATTTCATCTCTCCCTGCATGGATCTGTACACTCCTCCAGCACCCATAAATCAATCAAATATGATTCAGAATTTTTAATCACAGTAGGAGAAAGGAGAGCAAGTTTGTTCTGATACATAGTAAGGCTATGGAAACATGATTGAGAGGCAGAAGTCATAGTAGGAAATGATATCAATGTGAACAGTTCCATTCCTATGTCAAATGAAACTATTTTTCTGCCCTCCTCCACACCTTCCTTCATCCCAACCCAAAAGATAGCTCCATTACAATTGAAAGCGCCAGGATGGCTAACACAGACCACCTCTAAGTTCCCGGGTTCAACATTTGTCCATAACCCTGTCCTTAATGCATACACTTCCACTCGAGCAACCAAAAAATCAGACATGAAAAGTTTCACTATCTTGTAATCATTGACGATTGAGCTGAACCCAAATCCTACAGAAAAGGACTCACCCTCATACTTGTTCAGAGATTTTGGCACTTGATGGACCTTTCTAATGGCTAGATTCCACAACCAAAGGGAGCGTTGAGATTCACCAAAGAGTTCGACGCAAAGCAAGCCATTACTGGAATAAAGCCCAGTCCCGTAAGCCATTAAGGAATCACTGACATTTGGGCTCTCAAATTCAAGAACTTGCATCTCACGATTAAACAAACACAAGTGCCAATGATTTCTTTTAGAGATATTATAATCGACAGCAAGTAAAGGGTTTTGCTGAGTGGAATGGTGGAGGTGTTGAGCAATGAAAGATGGGGTTTTAAACTTTTCTCCCAATCTTTACACGCACATTGAAATCGGATCAGGGATTTTACCGGGAGTCGCAGAAGAATATTTGTGATAATTTCTTGGGGAAGATGTGGTGTGTCTTTCTCCATCATTGCGTGCTCCACGGTGCTCGACTGCCGACTGGTCTAAAGGAGTCTCACGAGTCACGGCGGGGGGAGGCGCTAGCAGTTATATCAGTGGTAAGGCGGTTTGCCATGTGGAATGGAACCATTAATTAATTTTTTCAAAAAAATGAAAATAAGTTTAGCCTGTTCCTATTCTCATCATAAACGAAATTGGAGACAAGAAGATAACTTTAAATTGGAAAACTTTCATTGAACCTTACTGTAAATAATTAATATCAGTCATCCTTAAAATTTTTTTTGAAATTTCGTTGCACCTCTAAGAATCAAAATTTTAAGGGTCAAAAGATAAAAATACCTTTAGTTTATTTTTAAAATTTTTTTTGTAAATCACTAAATTTCAATTACCAATTGTTGTCAATTTTATAAGTAAATGAATAATTCTGATTTGGCGATTTACAATTCAAATGCGGTGATTTAAAAAAAAAAAAGTATTCACAACCCTGTGTGTTTTGGTGCAAATGAAGAATTCAATTTGCAATTCACAACTAAAATTTAGCAATTTGAAACCCAAATTTTAATGATTTATAAGAAATATAAGAGAATTCACAAACTCTAAAGAGGTGTTCGGGTAACCCCAAAAGCATTTCTCAAAAATACCTTTCTGCAAATTAAGGCAAAATTTCTCCACATAATTACTTCATATTTCATAAAAGCATTTTTAAAGTAATAGTTTTGTTTTTACCCAAACACTCTCTAAATGTAATTTTGATTGATGCAAATGAACAAGTCAAATTATGTGATTCACAGCTAAAATTCAGTGATTTGTAAAAAAATATAAGGGAATTTACGACTCTAAAATAAAGTAATGATATTTTTGTTTATTCACCCATAAAATTTAAGTCCTTAAGGACATAGTAAAATTTTAAAATTTTTTTAGAGGTAATTGATATTAATTGTCTACTAAGGGTTTATTGAATTCTCCCTTTTATTTTTATTTTTTTTTTACCAGGAATTGAATTCTCCCTTTTAAATTCAAATCTAAATGCTAACTAACATATAACAATTAGGCAAAGTGCGTGCTCTATAAATGTCGGGCACTAAATATAATTATTTCTACTTATAAGATTTTAAACGTTAGTTTAATCCATTGCAAGTGACTAGCTATTTCTGTTAAATCAATTCTTATTAGTTGAATTCTATAACTTGAATCGCCTCCTTTTAATAAAGCCCCGCACGCTTCTTCAACTAAACTTGCGATCTAACACTCTCATTAAGGAGGATGATAAAATTAAAAATTAGGTTTTTTTTCTCGAGAGAAAACTTAGGTCAAGTGCCTTAGGTCTAGTGCACCAATAAAATGCTATTATCTGGATTACTTTACACATCAACATTTAACTTTTTAGGGACTGTTTGGTATGAAAGAAATAGAGAGAAAAAAAATTTTAATGAGCTCATTTTAAAAAATTGAAGAAATAGAATTATAAAATTTTGTTAAAAAAATACTTCTCCAGTTTTTAATATAAGACCTATTTAATTAATTTGATTAGATTAAGGAAGTTAGATTAGTTAGTTAGTTATAAAAAATATGATATGTTTTCCTCAAATACTATGATCATATTTCTAAATATCCTCTTTATTTCTTCTACTTGATTATGGTTGATAGAGTATCTATAGAGATAATTTAGAAAAAATTGATAAATATAAGAAATAGGTCTTATATTTAAAATCAAAATTAACTCAATAATTAGGTTTTATATTAAAGATTAGAGGAGTATAAGATAAAAGAGTAAGAAAAATTAATTAGAAAATTTTAACACCACTTTTCTAATTTTTTTTAAAAATGAGCTCATAAAAATTTTCCTCTTCATACCAAACAAACCTTTAAACATTCTATTAATAAAGGATTAAGGTGTAAATTTATCCCAAAGCTTTTTTGGAGCTAATTTTTTCTAAAAGTTTAAAATCATAGTAATATTGTTTCTTATAGTTAAAAATATTAACAGTCAATATCATTATTTTAACGGTTAATATAATTTTTTAATAGTAGAAGACAATATTGTTATGATTTTAAAATTTTGAGGTAAATATATTCAAAAATTCAATATTGTTGAGTGAAAATTTTCAAAAATAAATTTACACTATTTAACTGTCCAATTCCAACCTATTTCTATTCATATAATTCAGTTCCTTCAAAAGCCATTTCATCGTCAGGCAAAAAAAAAAAAAAAACGCGTTTCATCGTACCAAACGGGCCTCTCCGAGTCTCGAGAGAGGGAAAATGAAGTTTAACGTGAAGGCTTGGAGCGGCGGCGCGCGCGTCGGAGTACTGGAGATCGGAGGCTGTCCGAGTCCTATAGAGACGCCTGCTCTTCTCCTATCTACTCGTAAAGGCCTCCCTCACTTCATCTCCCCTGACCTTCTCTCTTCCCTCCCTTCTCCTGATTGTCGTCTTCTCCAAGTTTCTCCACTCCACTTGTAAGCACCTCACCTAACCTCATTCGTTCTTTTCATTAAATTTGTAACTAAAAGTGTACCTTCTGCTTTATCTCAATAGACGTATATACTTTGGCATCATGGAAGATGAACATGAAGTTATGTAAAGAAATAGGTCCTTGTGTAAAAGGGACCTAACCGTGTAGTTATTATTAAAAAATTAATCACTACTGTAATGTTGCTTGTTTTCAACTTGGGATATCATCATTTTATTCTAAATGTATTTGGGGCTTTCAGTTTTGGTAGTTTTGGTGATTGCGTGATCATGCTTTTGTGACTAGAGTTCATCATGGTCTGTAACCATAGGCAACAAACGGGTTGCATTATGACAATAGTGGTGTTGGCGTGTGCTACTTTGGGGCACTTATCATGCTATGGTGAAGGTGGAGTTGGTTGAGAAACTCTAGAACTGAAAGTGCATTTTGGTTGTAATAATCATGGTTGCAGCAACATGGTGGTAACCAATTTTTACTGGAGGCATTTGGTGCAGGACATCAATATAAATAAGAACACAACAGAGATGTTGTTTTTGTTTTTTAAAGTTTAATGTATGGGTACTTCTTACATAGGAATTTCCATTAAGGTCCCTTAATATTTGAATTTATCTTAACTAACCTAACATGTTTTATGTTTAGATTAGCTCCTAATGTAGACAAGTTCGGATTGCTGACACTACCTAGTGGGATAAGACATGTTTTTTGGGCCAACATATAGTACTTTATACTTAGCCGATCACATATTTGGTTAGTGATAATAGTATTATTAATGCAGCCTAAGCCCATGTATACTAAATTTTATTGGTCTTTAGGTAGTAACCTTCATTTTTAGGCTCTCTTCCACCCATGTTTGTGAAATCTAGTACTGTTTGCTAATTACTAATTAGAATTTTTCTCCCCTTGAGTTTTGTTGCTTAGCCTAGAGGCATTTTTGGGCCCCGTGGTGAGAATTGGGTCTCAGCTGCAGATCATTTCATTTATTAGGTATAATGTGTATTCTTCGTTTCACCTAGAGACTTATATGCATATGAAAGGGCCATCTTGAATTCTCATCCATTTTTAAAATGCAAGAAAATTATACCTGGTCTAATTTCTTCTTCAAATAAAACAAAAGGAAAAATTAAACTGAAAAATAAATTAGAGAAGAAGAATAATACAAGGTACATGGGCTTTCGGATCTAATTGCATGTGCTTTTCTTTTTAGAACAATTGTGTAAGATGAAGTAGTCACTCATCAGTTTTAGACCCACCAGATCTTTGAGTGCAAACTGCAAATGAGGAAAAAATGGTGCTCAGGAAATTCATTCCTGTACAGAAATGTTAGCGATTGCTATATTATATCACCGGTTTGTGTTGAGTAACCTATCCCAAATGTGCTTCTGCAGTTTGGAAGGACTTCCTACAAAAAATATATCAAAAATAGGGGGGCTCCATCGATTGCTCAGTTTGCATGAATATGGAATTGCAGCTGTAGTTAGGGATTCTATTAGCTGTCTTCCTGAGTGTATTGGAAGTACCAAACTTGGGGCATCTTTTGAAACCCCTGTGGTCGTCTCTTGGTAAAATCAACATGTACTTGCTGGATAAATTGATTATTTCATTGTTTTTGTTTTGAATAATGGTGAATGTAATGAAGGTTATTTATTTTGACAGATTAAACCCAAAGATTATATGGAAATGATTTCACACATGAGGCCAAACATATGGGTTGCTTTGGCTGATGAAGTACCTGCTTGGGTATCAGATAAAAGGAACAAGACCTCAGTAGACCGAACTGTCAGATGGCTTGATGACTGCCTTGCATTGAATCCGGTAAAGGAAAATGCATGATTACATGCTATATTTTTATTCGTCTTTCTGTTAGAATGGAATGAAGTTCCTCATGAATTAATTATGGTTGTTTGGTTCAAGATGGTTGGAAGGATTTCCTTTTCCATATTATCTGTTTTGCTATGATTTTAGCATTACTACTTGAATGTCCTTGATCTTTTAATAATCTAGGCTTGTTCTTTTTTATTCATTTGGTAAGTCAATGAGTTTGTTATTTTCTCTTGGTTCCGTGGATGATGAAGAAAATTCAGTAATTAGAGCCCTGAAATCCTAGGTTATTCAATATAGAACAGAAGCATCGATTTTTTTAAATTAAAATAAATTTAGTTTGTTCCTATCCTTATCATATATGAAATTGAAGATAGCAGGATAAATTAATTTTAAATTTAAATCTAATTGCTATCTAACGTAGCAATTACATAACAATTAGTTAGCGTCTGTACTCTGTGTTAGAGTTGCACAGCACCTG